GAGAGAGAGAGAGAGAGAGAAAGAGCGTGTGTGTGTTCGAATCCGAGTGCCCCAAGCAACCGCAGGCACTGCGCCGCAGCCCCGGCTGGTTCTGCGCCGCAGTTACAGCACAGCGTTGTCATTTGTAGCAGCACAGAGGAGATCGATATACACACTGAACCCGATAATGTACATCATAGCGAGGCGCAGAAGTTCGACGTAATTAATTTGCAATGAGTAGTGCGGGGAGAAACCAGCGAAGACGCGCGTGTTTGGAGCCATTCTACCCTAATCCTGCTGCACAGTAGTTTGAGTGTACGACTCTGAAGGGTTTTGGACGGAGAGGGAGAGAAGAAGAAGAAGAAGAAGAAGAAGAAGAAGAAGAAGAAGAAGAAGAAGAAGAAGAAGAAGAAGAGAGGATGGAACAATTGTAGAGCCTGTGGAAGGCGGGCGAGCGCGTTTTTCCGGGATCAGAGAAATTAGAGAAGGCAGGCAAGAGAAGCAGGCCCGGGCAGGCGAGCGCTAGGGAAATATTTTAACAATTACGGGGCCAAAGAGCCCTAGAGGTGGAGAGAAGAGGAGGGAATGGGGGAGCAGGCACGTCAGAATGTCTTTCACTCCGCGGAGCAGCCGGGAAAGCTTAAAAGCGTTATCAAATAGTCGCGCTCTGGTTTGGATTAGAGCGAGGATATCTTTAGAGGGGGCGATATCCGTCAGCCCGATTGGTCGCGACGAATGGAAAGACTCGCAAGCGCCCGTCCTTGGAGAGATTTGGTGACCGGGCGCGGCTGTGGATGCCTCCTTTTTATTTTCATTTTCTCGAGGAGTAATCGACACGCCCATAAAAATTCATGTACGGTAGATTATAAATTAATTGCAGATTCAACGCTGTGGCAGAAAGCAATAATTATGCTTCCTTACGTGCTTTTATAAAAGAAGGTGCGGAATCCTTCCTACCTTTGATTCAATCGCAGTGTTTGCACTGTTGCACCCAAAATTTCGATGCGATATGTAGACGCTCGCGGCAATAGTTGTCTCTTGGATGTGCATTTGCCAAAGAGAGAGGAAAATATTTTTCCACCATACCTATCGTGTTTACGCATCAGTCACAGTCAAGCGCTGGGCTAACCGTGGAGCAGAGCTACCGGACCGGCGCCAGTTTGCGCGCTGCTGTCAGACAAAGCGCATTGAGGGCACGCGAGCACAAAACAAACACACAGCAGGAGTGCCTGCCCCTTGCTACACTTCTGCGCGCTTTGATGTTTTGCCTCCGTCAATGGAGTATTCAACGAATTCCGTCTAGGGAGCTGCGAGACAAAGCCCTAGATAGGCGGGGGCGCCAGCAAAAGGACTGTCTGATAAGCAGCCCAGGCGAGACCACAGAAAGGCTCATCCGCACTGGATGCTTCAAAACAAATCTGTTGAAGAAAAGTGACAGACACAGAGACGAAACAAAACGCGACAAGCTGGATTAAAAGTGATTAAAACTGTACACGTTGTTGGCTCATTACGACGTAGAATAATAATTACACTGTTAGAAATATTTTGTGATTTCCGAACACTTTCACGATACTAAGCAACTGTGAAATCACAACACTTCCTTGTAGTCCAAAAAAGTGCATTTGGCTATCTTACTTAGAAATAGTTGGGAACCAGTCGTAATCATTTCTGAAGTTATCAATTTGTGACAACGAGGAAGAGTTGTGATTTCACAAAGAGTTCTGGCAGCCTTTTTCACAATGAACTATCCGTGAAGTTGTGACTTTTTTTAACAGTGAATTAGGTGTCAACAGAAAGTACACAACACGGTATTATTAGGAAATTCTCGGTACATATAAAACGATAGTATATGAAGCCGTGTGCGTGCTCGTGACATCCCTTTGCTTTATCCGGCTTTATCTCGTTACATATTCGACTCGGAAACACAATTACAAATCATTTCTGCGCGCGCACGGCTTGAATGTGCAAGGCCTGCCGCCGCATTGCTGCTCTTGATTCCGGTGCGGGCCAACCCCGAGGAGAGAAAAGGCATGAGCACGAAGCGGACCAATCATCTGGGAGACCACCGGGGAGGGAAGAAAGAGTTTCTGCAGAGCCGGCCTCGGGCGGGCTGGCTGGCTCGTCCTCTGCTCTCTCTCTCTCTCTCTCTCTCTCTCTCTCTCTCTCTCTCTCTCTCTGTTTCTCTCCTCCCCAACTGATTGATGGCAATCTGTCCTATTGTCGTCACAATCGCATCGGCCGCAAGCGGCTGCAGCAATAACCGGCATAAAAGTAATCTCGACAGTCATTTCTATTAGACGGCAACTGTTTGGCCGAGATCAGACTTTACTAAAAAGTATTGCACTGTACTGTACAATCCCGTACAGAAAAAAGGAGATCTAGAATGTCTCCAGCCGAGACATCGTAGAGACAGATTGAAGACGACATGCAGACTGCTAAAAGACATTCTGGAGATAAATTTGGAGTCACCTTAGAGCCGTGTTGGAGACAACGTAGAGATATTCTCGAGTCATCGCGGTGTCTCGTAGGTGTATCCATTAA